ATCCAGGAAACAGACCAGATGCTGTTTCGAAACTCATGATGAGTTCTCAGACCCAACAGTTAGGAAACGGTAACCTTGTTGGATTTGTAACATCTGGAATTATAAGAATTGATGAGTTAAAGTAAAGAAGAATGTATAACAATAGGTCTGCTACACAATACCTGCTACATCCTGTGTTGATGAGGCCTTTCGTCTAATACCAGACAAGGCTCTTCAGGGCAGCTGGGATACGATAGACATAGCAGTGGTTGAGACGCTATTTATATCATCAATTACTTCAAGATCAACTGTTTCGGTGTGAACTTACTTCAAGACCAACTGTTTCAGTGTGAACTTACTTCAAGATCAACTGTTTCGGTGTGAACTTACTTCAAGACCAACTGTTTCGGTGTGAACTTATTAAATAGATGAACCGTTTCGGTGTAAACTTACTTCAAGATCAACTGTTTTGGTGTGAGCTTACTTCAAGACCAACTGTTTCGGTGTGAACTTATTAAATAGATGGACCGTTTCGGTGTGAACTTATTAAATAGATGAACCGTTTCAGTGTGAACTTACTTCAAGATCAACTGTTTCGGTGTGAACTTACTTCAAGACCAACTGTTTCGGTGTGAACTTATTAAATAGATGAACCGTTTCGGTGTAAACTTACTTCAAGACCAACTGTTTTGGTGTGAGCTTACTTCAAGACCAACTGTTTCGGTGTGAACTTATTAAATAGATGAACTGTAATTTATATTTTGAAACCTTGGTTACTTACTTATTGCAGCAATCATGCGTTTTCTTAAGTATTTTAGAATACGTGACGTGTTCCTCTACTTACTAATGTCCTCTACTTACTAATGTCCTCTACTTACTAATGTCCGGAATTATCTGCCATTATAATATGGGCACGCGATTTCCTGTATTCTCGCTGGTATAACACTTATGAGTAATTGTTATGGTGTATACGTCTTTTCTAAACTAGCGAAGCATTGTTCTAATTAATTATATTTGTGACAAGATATTACTACTAAGCCTATTATATTTTTAACATCACATTCTTTATTCAGCTACAGCCGGCCTGATGAGCTCTGGTTGATCGAAACGAGTCGTCAACAGTAGATGTGTCAAATATAGTGTGGTTGGAATAATATTATTATACATTCTTCTAATTCTTGAAAATCCCTAAAGGACTAGATGAAGAAATTATACTAAGCCTAATAATAATAATGTCTTGTGACAACTATAAATATTTTTCAATAACGTTTACAGTCACTTACCAACCAATATCAGTGTGTGTTTTGTTCATACACAGTGACATCTTTATGGGTTTTTGCCACACGTTTAGGCCCGGCATGGCCAGGTAGTTAGGGCGCTTGACTCGCAATCTGAGGGTCGAGGGTTCGAATCCCCGTCCCACCAAACATGCTCATCCTTTCAGCCGTGGGTGCGTTACAATGTGACGGTCGATCCCACTATTCGTTGGTAAAAGAGTTGGCGGTGAGTGGTGATAACTAGCTGCCTTCCCTCTAGTCTTTCACTGCTAAATTAGGGACGACTGGCACAGATAGCCCTCGTACGGCTTTGCGCGAAATTCATAACAAAACAAAACCAAACCAAACCCGCACGTTTACAGAATTAAAGTTACAGGAAGTGACGTCACGCACACACGACTAGTAGAACAGGAAGTGACGTTAAAATCTATTGAATGGCATCAGGAGGTGATCTGCAAACAATCGATTACAAAAATCTATGTATCTTAATACACTTGTTATTAGAACAGCATGCTTTAGAACTTAGAATTCTGAAATGGTAGACAAGAGGGAAGACAGCTAGTCAACAACACCCCTTCCAATTCTTGTCTGACCAAATAGTGGGATTTGACGTCATTCTTATAGAACACCCAAGGCCACAAAGTTCGAAGCGCGTTCTTGCGGTAATGGTACACGAAAAACAGGCCACATCAGGCCCACTAGATGGAAGTAAAATACGATTTATAGCTAATGTTATCAGAACAGCTTTACCTTC